TTATCCATACTACTTATGATCATACAATTGTTATGGGTATATGTGTTTATACTTAATAGATTTTGGTACAAGTTTATATATTTTGTTTTTACGAGTTTATGTCACATGCTTACATTTTGCTGCTTTTCCACTAAATGCACTGTTGTTGGTCTCATGGGAGGTATATACAGGGATAAGATGTCATTAAACGAAGGTGATTCAGTAGCATCAACTGCTGTAAGACAGCCATAGATATAAACAATAAGAGATAGGGGCATACAGACTTTGGTTAGAAAGTTGTACGGAAAATGGATTTGTGAAGTAAGAAAAGTTTTAAGGTAATATTCCTTAATTATTTATTTGTGCTTTTGTGGCTTTGCATGCTTTTAGAGGTGATGATGTACATTGACAGCTATACAGAATGTAGTTGTGTAAAGAAGTGAATACACTTCAGATAGCTCATGAATTATTATGTTGAAAAGTTTTCAAATTTGTCGCAGACATAATTTTGAGTACCACTGAATAAGGATTTTATCCAGAATGTTACTGAATAATAAACATTACTTATCATTACTAGATATGCTATTGTTTTCTCTTGTGAGAGCAAAAATAATAATTGGTATAATTATAATATCTTAACTGATTAACTAACTGTAATTATTATAAGTTTATGTTGAAATTGAAAATACCTATGTATTTTTAAAGAATTATGCCATTGATATTGAACACTGTTATAGACATACCAATTAAAAAAAGGATCAGACCCTTCATATCTTTAAATAAATCTGATATGAACTTCGGAACTTTAGTTTGCACATTATATAACTTCAGTATTTGTAGCTGATAAACCTATTATGCAGCTAGATGATGGTAAAAGTGCATTTCTCGTGTAATTTACAGAATTAGAATACTAGTTTGTGAAAAATTATGTTTATTTCTTGCATATAGTTTAACTTAAGAATTTGTTTAAAGATCTTCATTGTAATAGTGAAAGCTGATTCCCTACATCTGCTTTATTATAGAACATAAAGTGAGAAGACATTTCATTCATTATAAATTTACAGGACATTAAATTTAGCATGTTTACCTAGTCGAGCTAGATTTTAAAATGTTTTTTTTTCTTTTATACAATTCTTGAATATTCATAAATTTGCATGTGATACTTCCAGTCACTTCAGTATTTTTACTGTGTAAGGAGAGATTGACTTTAGATGCCTTGGAAACAAATAGAAATTGTTAAAAATCAGTATTAGATTGTGAATTTCACTGATTGATTAATGTATATTTTATTTCTTTAAAGCTTAATCATTTCTGATATTTGTGTAAAGAGTTAAGAGTTGCTTTGCCAATGTCCCAATAGCTGTCTTCCTAAATTAAGTGATACTGGCTGTTATATGTACATATATTTGTATGTATGTGTGTGTGTGTGTGTGTGTGTGTGTGTGTGTGTGTGTGTGTGTGTGTGTGTGTGTGTGTGTGTGTGTGTGTGTGTGTGTGTGTGTGTGTGTGTGTGTGTGTGTGTGTGTGTGTGTGTGTGTGTGTGTGTGTGTGTGTGTGTGTGTGTGTGTGTGTGTGTGTGTGTGTGTGTGTGTGTGTGTGTGTGTGTGTGTGTGTGTGTGTGTGTGTGTGTGTGTGTGTGTGTGTGTGTGTGTGTGTGTGTGTGTGTGTGTGTGTGTGTGTGTGTGTGTGTGTGTGTGTGTGTGTGTGTGTGTGTGTGTGTGTGTGTGTGTGTGTGTGTGTGTGTGTGTGTGTGTGTGTGTGTGTGTGTGTGTGTGTGTGTGTGTGTGTGTGTGTGTGTGTGTGTGTGTGTGTGTGTGTGTGTGTGTGTGTGTGTGTGTGTGTGTGTGTGTGTGTGTGTGTGTGTGTGTGTGTGTGTGTGTGTGTGTGTGTGTGTGTGTGTGTGTGTGGTGTGTGTGTGGGGATGGGTGTGGATGTACATGTATGCATGTGTGTGTGTTGGGATATGTGTATGTTTATACATACATATGCATATGTTTATTGACACACATACATACATATGCAAATACAAATATATATATATATATATATATATATATATATATATATATATATATATATATATATATATATATATATATATATATATATATATATATACATATTTAATATATATACATTTATATAAACATGTATGTATATTCATATTCATACACATATTTATATGTAGTTTGTAGATGTATGTACACACAAATGCACTTATTATATATAAATGTATATATGTATTAATGCATTGTATTTGTGTGAGAAAGCATTTATGTATATATGGTGTACATAGAGAAACAAGTGCCCTCTCAGGCCCCCAACCCCCCTACTAACAACAACAACAACAAAATAATAATAAAAGATAAAATAAATCATTTAAAAATATAAAATCAGATTATCATCTAGTGTCAGTGAACTTGCCTCCAACTCACAAACAGAGATTCAAATAATATGACCGATAGATGGATGAAAGTTTAAGGAACACAACAATACTAATAGGCAAGGCAGAGCTCAGAATGTTGCTTCTTGCATTCATTTCTCGAGGCTTACCATATGTATTGATGCAGTGAAAGGCTTTGATACATAGTAGTTCTCATTGGCTGTAAATAGTAGATGTTTTTTACCTTTATAGCTGTGTAATGGTGTATGTGATCTATCCATAAAGCTGCGTGTGTTTATGTTATGTGTGTGTTTATGACCTTTTATTTTTTATTTTTTTTCCATGCTGAATAATGCGTAAGTCATGAAAAATATTTCAGATATGATTTATAGCTTTGTGATAAATGTCACAAGATATTGTATTGAACAAATATAAACGGAAAAGTATTATGAGAGAAATAAACTAAACTCATTTCTACAAAAGTGGTACAGTGTTAAACAAGGATGGAATGAGAATGGTGTGAGTGAAGGCCAGTGCTCCACAAAGTAAAATAGGTTATAAAGTCTCCCGAGGAAACTGTATATTCAGATTGTCAATTTTATCATGACAAGTGGAATTGATAATTTTCATTTATGTCTTTCTCAACAACCTAAGTAAACTACAGGTACTTAACCCATTCGCCGCGGATGGCAAGAATAGATGCCATACCCACTTTGATACACGTTTATTTATTGTATTTACACATAGATGGCTCTACAGGTTCTTAATTACCAAATAGCCAGTTATCAAGAACTACCTATTTCACCTGTTTAGCCTTTTGCTTCACTTTCGGAAAGGGTTTTTTGTATCATCTTATTGTCAAAAATATTCTAATGACAATTCAATCATCATAACATCAGTAACAATAATAACAGCATCGAAAGCAATGATATTAATTTTCCCGCCAATTCAATGAATGGGAAAATCAGGGTCGGTAACTAGGGCCTACTGATAGACTCCTTGCCGGCTGAGTACATGTGGAGCCATCTGTAGGTAGCAAAATTCACCAAAACCAAGAGGGGACAGAACATAAATCCGTGGCGAATGGGTTAAATGTCATAAATATCAGTGAAGCATAAAGTGACAAGTGTACATATGGAAATTATATATATATAAAAAATATATATATATGTATGTGTATATATAGATACACACACACATATATATATATATATATATATATATATATATATATATATATATATATATATATATATATATATACCTACATATATATATGCATATAAATATATATATATGCACACACACATATATATATATATATATATATATATATATATATATATATATATATATATATATATATATATATATATATATATATATATATATATATATAAAATATATATATATGTATGTGTATATATAGATACACACATATATATATATATATATATATATATATATATATATATATATATA